ACTTCTTGAATATCTTCCACTTGTTTCATGTTTTGAAACAACAGCCCATTCAGTATCTTTGTTGTCCTGCGYATTTGAAATTATTTTGCATTTATTTAATCTTTTTTCCACGATGGGCTTTGAGGAGAACCTTCCAGATCAAGGTGGAGTGTTCCATCTCATAATTAATTATAGAAAAAGCAAGAGGGTATGGGCAGCAGGACAGACCTGAAAAAAATCTCCCTCATTCCCAGGTGCAAAAGGAGATGAAGAGGACACCACAAAGCAGCCCCTTCCCCATCACCCCCTTTTCCATCAGAAAAAAATTTATTTTTGTGTCTTTGGGAAGGAAAAGAGATGGAAAAAAAGGCTCTGTCCTGGGAGTCATTCCCATCAGCCCAGCAACAAGAAATGATCCTGGGAAGAGCAAAACACTTCTGCCAGGRGGCAATGAAAGAGGATTTGTTATTGCAAGGATCGACCTCCCAAAGGGAAAAAATCTACTGTGGGCTTGGTGAAAATGCCTGTCCTTGGAGGATTCCTGCTCTCATTAACCCAGCAAGGAGAAAACAGAAAGGGATCAAGGAGAAAACAGAAAGGGATCAAGGASCCCTCCCTGTGAGAGGGAGGAAGAGGAAATTCCTGGTGTGCTCACTTCCCTGGAGACAAATTCCCAGGGAATTCCACAAATTCCCAATGTGGATCACCCACATGGACACGAGCAGAACAGAGCACCCAAGGAAATGAGAGAGAGAAATTCAACCCTTGGCTTTGCAGGAGGGGAGAAGATTAAATATCAACATCTCGCTCCCCTTAAAGGCTGATAAAAATGTTTAAAATATCTGAACTCAGTATTTCAAYAATTTCATGGGAGCTCACCTGACTTCAACCCCACGGTGCTCAATTCTGATGAGGAAGGAGGCACGAAAAGCACATTTCCAGAATTATTAAATAAAGAAGTGCTGCTGATTGGCAGCATTTGGCTCTGCAGTGCTGAGTTCTGCTTCTTCTGGTATAAATCCAGACCTGTGCTTTGGGTTGCACCAGAACTCTCTGGTATTTATCTGCCTGGCAGGAGGAATATTTTCACTCCTAAGAGTGGAAACTTTGGGGGGATATTTGGAAAACAAGTGGAATACTCACTGGCTCAGCCTAGTTCCTTAGCTTCCAGATAATGAGATCTCAGTAAAAAGATTCACAAATCTCTCAGCCCATATTCAAAACAATTAAAAAACCTAAAGGAATAGCATTACAACACATGCATAAAAAAAAGAGAACAATTAGTATTAAATATTCCTTATTGATACTATTAGTATCAATATTAAATAGATTTAAATATTGATATTCCTTAGTACTAAATATTAATTTTAGTATTAAATACTGATATTATTTGATACTAYTGATAGTATTTCTATAGGAACCATGCCCATTTCTACAGAAGAWTTTATGTGATTTTTATAGCAGATATCTGGAATTTCTACAAGTCCTGGATTTGCACAAATTTGTAGTGCTTTGTGCTTGATTTCGTGTTATAAAAATAAGTATTTTGCGAAAGCAGCAGGTCTTTAGACATTTGTAGCTCACACAACTGGTGCCCATCTTGTTGGTATCTTTTAAGAATAAAAACTATAGRAAGCTGATTAAAGGACAGATCCAACAGAGCTGAAATTCCACCCTGATCCCTGGAGGATTTTTCCCACCAAGACCTAATTTCCCAGACCTCTTCAAAGACTGAAACAGAAGAACTGAAAGAAATTACAATAATYGATTAAATCCCTTTTAAGTAACAAGCTTAAAACATTCCCTTTTGTGCACGACCACCCCAACAACTCCAAAGCTAAATTCAGAGGCCTTTCTGTTGTAACTCAAGTATTTATTTCCCATTCTTTGTAGATATCAGACAAGGACTTTTTACACTGCCTTTAGCCCAAAGTTTTTTTTATTTCACTCATTAAATCTACCTTAAAATAACTAGAAGAGCTCAGAGAGAATGCAATGAGTACATTGAGAGCAGACTGTCTCTCTAAATGGATGTGGGATGCTCTTAATTTTGATTTTTTGGCTGTTTTCAGAGCTCTTAATGTTTCTTAATTTTGATTTTTTGGCTGCATTCATTTGGTTTTCCCTTTACAGAAAAGCACTTCCAGAGAGGAAAACTTCTCAGAGTTCCTCAAATAATGGTGCTCAAGGCAATATTGCTATKGGTGAGACACGTTGGGTAATTAAATATTCAAAGAGTTAATTTGAAATTGGTGAGATGCAGCTCRGCTCAAGGCATGAAGTGCTCTCCAGGAACATTTCTCACAGACTGGCAGCAGGTGTTGAGATAAAGCCTCAGGCTAACAACCCAAAGGTGAAGTTTCCATTAATAAATCAATAATCAGAGACAGCCACGGCTCTCCTCGGGTACCACTTTTTGGGTGAAACCCAAAAAAGGCACTGCAAGGTGGGGCTGACTCCCCCTGCCCAGAGATAYGGGGTGCCACAGAAACCCCCCAGGGGAGCTGGGCAGTTTGGAGTCATCTCTGAGGGGTGAGGAATGAAAATCCAATCCCTCATATCCCGAGGAACTGGGTGGGCACAGCCTTGCTCTGGCCCTGAGCCAAGCCTGGCACTGCCATCCCTGCAGACAGGATCACACCCACCCAAACACTGCAGGGTGAAAGCACAACGAGGAAGGAGCTCTTCAATGTCCCCCTCACCAGATGAGCTCTCAACGTGTCCAGAAATTCATGTGCTGAGAGCATTCCCAGTGTTTATTCCGGAGTGGAGCTGCTGGATGCAGAACCAGGAACCCATTGAGCTGGGAGATGTTGAGATTGTTCCTTCAGGAGCTCAGAGCTCAGCCCTGCCCTGCCATCACCCCATCCCAGAGACCTCTCTGACCCCAAAAACCTCTCCCACCTCACCCCATCCCACCCCAGACCCCTCCCCCCCAGAGACCTCTCTGACCCCAAAAACCTCTCCCACATCATCCCATCCCATCCCAGAGCCCTCTCCCACCCCAAAGCCCTCTCCCCCTTCCCTCTGCCCCACACCACCCCAGCCCTGACCAGTGCAGGATGCAATTCCCTGCCTCAGAAGAGCTGAGTTCTTTTCCTTTCCCAGACTGCAGGAATCCCTCTGGTTCTCCTCCACTCACACAACTCTCTTTTGTTTGTCTCTCAGCTCGCTGAGCATGATTTCTGCCCTGATGGAGGGTGACAGCTTTGCCTTTGAAGGGGTTCCAAGGCTGCTGTGGGACCAGCAGGGAGCAGCCCTGCCCGACACTCCCTGMCCTCTCCCCTCCTTTCCCAGAAATTTTCAGGCTCAGAAAAGGCAGAGGGAAAGCTGAGCACTGTTCCCAGAAGAGGTTTTTAAGCAACAGCTGAACTTTGAGAGCACAGAGCAATTCTGGAGCTGGAAGAGACATCAGAGAACATCCAGACCGTCCCGTTGTCCTGAGGCACATCCAGCTGGACCTACACTGCTGGCAGATATTTGCCTCACTGGTTCTTACTGGATTCCAGTCTCAGGCAGTCTAATTCCTGCAGTTGGTCCAGCCTAACACATGATTTACCATCAGAGGCAAATCTTACTTCAATTTAATCCTGCCAATCCTAGGCTGGACATGGACATGGAGAACTCGTTCCTCATATCCTTCAGTTTCAACAGGAATTTAAAATCCATCCCAGCGAGCAGTGACAGCTCAATCTGCYCAGAATGCCTGGAATTTCAGTGTCTCCAACACTGTCCCCTGGCCCCTTTGCCACCAGCAGAGCCACCCTTTAGTACCCACCCAGAGAATCAGGAAATGTCCTGAGCTGGACAGGATCAAATCCAGCTCCTGGCCCTGCACTCTCAGAGGTGACCACAGCTTCATTGGCTTCAATTCCCATATTTCTAATCACTGTTTCATTTCCCATATTTCTAATCACTGGCTTCAATTCCCATATTTCTAACCACTGTTTCATTTCCCATATTTCTAATCACTGTTTCATTTCCCATATTTCTAATCACTGTTTCATTTCCCATATTTCTAATCACTGGCTTAAATTTCCCATATTTCTAATTTCTTTTCTTACACAGAGCAGCCTCAATCCCACCGACCTTACACATTTCATTTGCTCACACGTTAAAACTTCCCAACACCTACAACAAAMAGTTTATGTAAAACTAAAAACCTCCTCAGCATGAGACAGAGAGTTTGCAGAGTCTGAGAGTGCATTTCCTGCATTTCTGGATTTCCTACACACTCATCTGAACCTTGGCTCATTTCCTGCTGTGACTGACACTCAGCTGGCAAGAGGAGAGAAGGTCAAATTCTGATTTAACACTCGCAACACAGTTTGTTTTCTTGTGGATTTTTTTTTTTTTTAAATTAACCAGTTGCTTACAGCATTTTTGTCTCTCCCATTGATAACCTGAAAATAGAAAGGTGCAATGGTATATTTTGTGCTCTGATAAMATATTTAATTGTTTCAGCTTGAGAAGATTCAACAGGTGTTGAAAAGTCTTTTCTTCTTTTTTTACCTCCTAAAGTTCCTGAGGCCTGAAAACCCATAACAATCCCACAGCTGAAAAGAATCTTTTTTTTTACCTTTCAAAGTTTCAGAGGCAAAAAAACCCGTAACTGTCCCACCGTTGAAAAATCTCTCTTTTTTTTACCTTTCAAAGTTCCTGAGGCACAAAAACGCATAACTGTCCCACCATGGAAAAGTCCCTTTTTTTTTACCTTTCAAAATTCCTGAGGCACGAAAACCCATAACTGTCCCACCATTGAAAAATCTCTTTTTTTTTTACCTTTCAAAGTTTTGGAGGCAAAAAAAACCCTAACTGTCCCACTGTTGAAAAGTCCCTTTTTTTTTTACCTTTCAAAATTCCTGAGGCACCAAAATCCGTAACTGTCTCACTGTGGAAAAGTCTTTTTTTTTACCTTTCAAAATTCCTGAGGCACGAAAACCCATAACTGTCCCACCATTGAAAAATCTCTTTTATTTTACCTTTCAAAGTTCCTGAGGCACAAAAAGAACCACACTTACCCAGTGGAGGGGTTCATGATGCAGCCCCCTTTCTCAGTGGATGCCTTGCAGCTGCAGCCCCTCTCCAGTGTGTCGTGATTCATCCCAAAATTGTGCCCCAGCTCGTGAGCCAACGTCACTGCTGCACCCAGGGGGTTTTCTGAGTGATCCTTCAAAAAAAAAAAACCCACAAAAGAGCCAGTCAGTTCAGCCTATRAACCCAATTTAAAGCACCCATTCCCCCTCTGAGCTCCTACTACCCTTGAAATGTTTTATCAGTTTAACAGCAGAAGTTGCTCTGTTGTTGAATAAACTCAATTTTAAATTCATCCACATATACCAAGGGCAGACTGAGAATTCAGGCTCACCCAGTCTTCCCAACACAAAAGATGTTTGAGGCCATTGGGCAGCTTTGGACACTGGGGTAATTTCTGTAATTTGATTTAAAATTCCACTGTTCAATAAATCCCCCAAAGCCCCAAAACCCAGCAGTGGCAGAGAGAGGTCACCCAGCCATGGAGTGCTGGAAAAGGCAATTTTTTATGGGTGAGGGTGAGGAGGGAGAAGATCCTTCATGTCAGGAGGCAAATTTAAAATKCAGCAAGAGACTTCACTCAGTCTATTTAATATGCCCCAGACTGTTTCTTTAACATCAGAATGCCCAAGATTTCACAAACCTCGTAAGAAAAAATGAACACCTTTGAAAATCTCCTTTTTAAAATGAAAGGCCAAAATCTTCCACGGCCTCTTATTAACCTATGAATACTCTAAGTGTTGAAAGTGGCAGTTTGAAATTTTAACATTAAACCTCGTTTAAATGCTGATTTTTGGGACAATCATCCCTGAGAAATTCMCTGCATGATCTGATTACAGGCTGCTGACCAGAATGGTGTTTTGGCTTAACCACAAGTGAGAGACCTTTCCACATCGATCATTTTCCTTGAGGGGAAGGAAAAAAAAACCACTACACTTGTAGGAAAGCTTTCCCTGAAGGCATAAACATGTAATATAAATGCATGATCCACTATTTATCAGGCAGTAAATGGAATTACTGTGTACAGCTGCCTGCTCCAGAAGCGTGCATGAATATATTCACTTTAAATAACTCCTTCAGCATCATCTAAGCCAAACTCCAGACTAAAAAGAAGTGAAAGGTAAAACTGTCTAAAGCATTATCTGTGTACTAATGGAAACCTTAATATATGACTTGGGGTAGATTTAAGAGTTTCTTCTTTCATCTGTCTGGGTTAATATTTTTAGTAAATCATTTCTCAAGCAGCAAACAAAATCAAGAAGAAAACAGAGTCTGAACACACAAAACTGCTCCTTCTGCAACTGGAATAAACTCAAAAGAACTTTATATTGCAATAAAACGTCTATTTAAATTTTTTTTTCCTGAWTTTTTTAATCTTACCATAAAAATCTTGTGACAGCCAGTTTGTCCTGCACAGTGCCTACATAATGAGATATCTTATTTAGATACTGGTCAGATACAGAAGGATTTATCTTTGTGCACACAGTAATTTGTGGAATATTTAGAGAATTCAATGTAATTGAAGTTGATGTCAGGAAAAGAGCACAACTCAAATTGAGAGCATTGCAGGACTGAAGATGAAGAAAACAGCAAAATAATTCCATATAATTTACCATTATGACTCATTGGCTGATGCCTTGAAATTTCTGTCTGGTCAAGTCAGAAACTCCCCACTGAGCTACCCAGACACTCACCGCACTGAGCTCAGAATTTCTTTGTTTTTCCACTATCTCCTGTACTTACTGAACAGTGATTTTATTTCTCTGACTACTCTGAAGCTGTCAATTAAAACCAAAAACAAGGATTCACACAGCCCACTCCAGAAGCAGTGCAATAAATGATGTGAAATGTAATTTGGGACTTGAAGAGGCAGACAATTACCCCAGCCCATGAGGTTCTCATTACTTGCTCAGATCCACTTGGAATGCAATTTTATCAGCTTCTAGAGAGGGTTTTTAAAAGGAGGAATGTGATGCCTCAGCAAAAGAGATTATTTGAAGACAGCATAAATGAAGATTATCAAAACAAACACTGACATGTTCCATTTGATACTGAGACCGCTTGAGTATCGCAAGGAGTAAAAAAAAATGAACAGCAATGTGACTTGGATTTATTCCAGCAGCGTCTCAGAATGTTAACTTGAGCAGTGAAAGCCTTTCCCCAGCAGTTTCACAACCTCTGGATCAGCAGCCATCTCCTGTTCAGGCATGGTGAGCTGTGGTACAAAACATGCAGCTGAGCTCTGCTTCGTTCCACTGGGGTTTCAATAAATCCTAATAATTCAATATTGTCAGATTGAAATGCCCTGATCCTGCTGAGTTCACAGAGCCACAGAATCCCACAAGGGTTTGAACTGGAAGGGACCTAAAAAACCATCCAGTCCCACCTTCCACCATCCCAGGGTGCTCCAGCCTGGCCTTGGGCACTGCCAGGATCCAGGAGAAGCCACAGCTTCTCTGGACACCCTGTGCCTCCCCACCCTCCAATTCCTTCCTAACATCTCATCTAAATCTCTCCTCTATTAGTTTAAAACCTTTCTCCACTGCCCTTTCACTATCTGCCCATATGAAAAGTCACTTTCCTCTTTTCTCAGCAAAATTTTACTTTTAAATCCGTGAATTCAGCGGGCAACCTTTGGAAACAGGAGARTGAAGACTGAATCATGTCAAAGCCTCGCTTTAATGTCAACTTCTTTCGTTTTTCTATGACACTACAGAAACTTCACAGGAAAATGAGATGATAAAGGTCTTGTTAAAGCTCCTCACACTCACATGGCTGCTCTGCCCGCTCCGAGTTCCTCTSAAAATTAATGGCAGACAGGGTGTCACCTACTGAGAGAACTCAGCCCTGGAGCAAAGAGACAGGCAGGCTCCCAGGGAGGCATGGCAGAGGAATTTAGATCATAAAGTCRAGCTGACTAACTGCAAAAAGAACCAGGAGAATCAGATCATAAAAGAATCAGTCCAGATTTTGTATTCAAATGTTATTTCTTACGCAGTCTCCCGTTGTCTCTTCTCTCTCTAAAACCAGAGAAGGTGTTGAGTTTTTGGGGTGGGATGGGCGAGAAATTGGCTGAATTATGAGGTTGGCCAAAGGTTCATTTGCACACATTTGTTGAGACACCTGAGCCCCTCAGCCTCCTGGGATAAGAGTGATTCATTCTTTCATAGAATCMCAGAATCTTTTAGGYTGGACCAGACCTTGAAGATGATGGAGTCCAAACCATTCCCCAGCACTGCCAARGCCACCACTGCCCCTGTCCCCAAGAGCCACATCCACAAGGCTGTGAAATCCCTGCAGGGATGGGGACTCACCCCAGCTGTGCCAGGGTACAGCACCAATATTGATAAATGTGGTTTGTCTGTCCCTGAATCAGCCTTTGTTAACCCAGGGGAAGGTTGGGCAGCTGCACTTTTGGGTTTTGGGGTGAGGGTTTGCTTCTTTTGGATTTGGCTCCTTTTTGAGGATTTGCTTAGGGAACTGGAGAAGATTTCTATTTATTTTATGCAACCCCTAAGTTCATCTGCACCTTGAATTAATTCACTGAGTCTCTGGGTAACATCGTGCTCCCTTTCAGGACAGAAGCTGCAGCCAGGGTTCATCCACAGAGCCTGGAGACATAAATCAGTCCCTTCTCCATGAGAACACTCTGAAGAAATGCTGATTCTTGTTTTCTCGTTGCTGGAATGAACTATTTGTAATTATTTCTCTTTAAAAAGACAGTTTCCAGAGCAAAGAGAACTGACTTGGCAGTAAATTATTCTGTGGAGTGTTTTAAATCTGACACTAAAAATTAAAAGGACAAAAAAGGTCACCATTGGGGGCATCTCTGAGTGCAGATAAAGCCAAAGTGACTGCAGGCCTGAGAGTCAAATGGCTAAAACGGGGCTGTCTGCCTCAGATGTGCCTTTATAAAGACTTGGAATTGCACTGGGAGACTCCTACAGCTCTTTCTTCCCTTTTTTCTCCTTTTGTTCCTCACCCCCAGGTACCCAGGGAACAATTGTTACAGACAATTACAGATTCAGCTTCTCAAGCTACCAAGAACCTTGGTCTTTTCTGCAATTTTGACACAACTCTCCCCCAAAATAAGTGATTTGAACRTTCTATTTTAAAGCTTCTTCCCTCCATCTTAGCACAAAACACTGTTCCAAATTACAATTTAAAAAAAAAAAAAATCAGAAAGGAAATACTTCAGAGCAATTGGACAAGATGTTTACTTGTGTGTTGATCTAACAACAACCAGTGATGCCCTGGGAGAGACTCAGGTGGAATAAATGCTGCCATTGTTTGTTCTCACTGTCTGGCAATGCAATAAAACCCCTGCTGCAACGATGGAAAAKAAGGCCCAACACAGGAAACTCTATAAATACAGAATAAAATCAATATAATAAAAGATTCAGGATAGACTGCTGCTGCCTGTAACACAAGTATGCCCAAGTGGATAACAAATACATCTTCTGGTTCTCTTCCCTCGCAGCACCCCAGCACCTGGCTCAATAACAATTAGAGGCATGAACTCCTTACAAAGAGGCCCTGCTATATTGTAATGCATTATTTGGGGTTTTTTTGCTATGGAAACTATCATTTACAAGCAATGTGAAGGGGGATATAAACAGTGCAGAGATGGAAAATGGGACAGATGGGGCTGATGCAGAGAGAGCAGAACTGATCTGGTGTCAGCCCAGCCTGGGAGCTGCTCTTCCCCCACTTACCATGACGACCCCTCCAGACTGCTCTGCCGTGCACATGCTCATGATGGGAGCCATGCCAATGGTGGTGCCCTGGAAATAGACCCCACTGCAGGGTGGGGAGAGGGGGAGAACAGACACAGGGTCACACTCAATGCTGAGACACCGCCCCGCTATCGTCAGCTTTGTATTTCTGCCAATCCCAAACAAAGATCCCGCTCCAGCTCTCATATTTGTGGGTCTAAAGCAATGAAAAGCTCAGATGGGCTGTGCTGACTTGGCTGAACTGAACCACAGTGTGCCAGCTTTGGGAACATCCAAATATCTCCCATTGGATCACCCCATTTGATCACCCCCATTGGATTTTCCCATTGGATCACCCTCTTTGGGTCACCCCCATCAGATCAACCCCTTTAATCACCCCTTTGGGATCTCTCCCATTGGATCTCTTCCATTGGATCACCCCATTTGATCACCCCCATTGGATTTTCCCATTGGATCACCCTCTTTGGGTCACCCCCATTGGATCAACCCCTTTAATCACCCCTTTGGGATCTCTCCCATTGGATCTCTCCCATTGGATCACCCCCACTGGATTTTCCCATTTGATCACCCCCATTTGATCACCCCATTGAATCATCCCCATTGGATTTTCCCATTTGATCATTCCCATTTGATCATCCCCATTAGATTTTCCCATCTGATCATCCCCATTGGATTTTCCCATTTGATCACCCCATTGAATAATCCCCATTGTATTTTCCCATTTGATCATTCCCATTTGATCATCCCCATTAGATTTTCCCATCTGATCATCCCCATTTAAACACCCCTATTTGATCACCCCCTTCTTTTTCCTGCTGCAACACGACCCTTCTTCCCCCTTTTTTTTCCTTTCTCCTGCTGACTAAAGCCAGGAACAGAAGCACAAACATAAAAGTAACATCTCTAACTCCAAGAAKGGTTATTGTAATGCAGGGAGAAGTTTATGTGCTACTTGTGATGATCCATAGCCTGTAGTGTAATAATTTCAAACAAAGTGYTATTATACACAGAGAGCAATCAAATATCTCAGGAGGGACGGTTTGGAAAGGCTCAATTTATTMTTACTCAGGTAATGGAAGAAGTAAATAACTCCTTTTAATTACTAAGACATCAGGTGTGTTTATCTGCATAGCATAGAGGATAGTCAATTGATCAAAATAACACCTGATTTGAGAAAAAGGTGTTCCTCTTACCTTTTTTTTTTCTTTTTTAGGAGTGCTTTTACTTTCACAGAATCACGAACAGGTTTGGGTTGACAGGGACCTTTACTCAATTACTTTAATCCAAGAATAAGCAGCAGGGTAAAATGTGTTTATGATTTAATTTTTGTATCACAAATGCCAATGAATTGTCTCATTTAGACAGCATTTTAAAGCACACTGAGCTCTTTTCACTACGAAACAGGCTCCACTTTAGGGTCAGAGCAGAAAAATTTACAGAGACCAGTTTAAACTGGTTATAAATTCATACCCTGAGTATGCAGCAGCTCATTACAGACCTCTCTCTGATCATGAGCTGTACTCAGGGCTGGGCAAAGAAACTCCCCTGAAGCATCTGCTGAAGGACCCTGCAGAGTGTTTTTGTGTTTGATATTTACAGAGGGGAAAGATAAACCCTCAGGAGCACAGGTGTTCCTTCCTGTGCAGGGGAAGGACTTGGTACTGCTCTCCTGAAAYCCMMAAAATCCCCAAAATCCCCMAAATCTGGTATCAAAGCCAGAGCCAAGGGTACCTTATCAGCTGGGCATTGTCGTGGGCTTTTCGAGGGAGGAGTTTGAGCTTCCTCCAGTCCAGGAACTCGTGCAGGCTGGTGAAGGGGTCCTGGGAAATGGAGCATTTRTCCATGTCATTCCACACTTCCACCCCCACCAGGGCCACTCGGATGTTCAGGGGCCTGTAAAACTGAGGAGAGGAGAATAGAAACAAGTCTGTGAAATCTGGATGAGAATACTTCAGTAGAAGCATAATCAACCTTTTTGTACAAGTCAAACAGTCTCTTCTTCAGAGAAAAACACCTGAGAGGACTCAGGCAAAATCTTTCCAAAACAGTTCTGACCCAACTCAACACCCATAAGGMATCCAAAGAGATCCAGGGATTTGCTGTTTCTCTGTGTACTACCCAAGTTTGGCATTTTCCCTCAAGATGAAACCCTGCAACTCCCTGCCCATGTCCTGGATGGACTCTCCCAGAGCCTAAATTGCAATTCCAGAGGGAGGGGAACTGTGCTGTGCTCTGCTTGTGCTGCCTTGAGGACCAATTTTTAATTATGAGACAAGACACAGTTAAGGGGATAAAAGGGTTTCACCTCGGTATTTAATGGGATCTCAAGTGCACAACTCAACAGATGGGAGAAACCAAAAAATGYGCTTCATGTACAACAAATATATAAGTTTTATAGACTTCACAAATTAGCACATCTATCTGGGATTTTCTAATAAGAAACTTAACAAATGAAGTAATGCTCCTCTATTTTAAAGGTTTTTTTTCCCCAGGATGAGACCAGAGTTYAGTTTACACAAAATRYTCCAGAGAGRAGGCTTCACCCAAAGCTGGAGCCTCAAATCTGAGATAGCACAGGGCACTCTGACCCCTCACTGAGGATGTTTGGTCTCTCTGCCCAGCAGAACCCCAAAACTRAGCTGRATATCAGCCTACAAGRATYACAAACATATAGGTTAAGGGAACAGGGATACATAAAGGGCACAGAAAATGTCTAAAAGGGTATATAAAATACATAAAAGAKTATATAAAAATAGAAGGTAAAAACCATTAGGCATCAGTTGTGGCCCACAATAACAACTGAAAACAAGCCAGGGTCATTGAGCCTTGCTCAGAACAGACCAAACCAAGTGATTTTATCTCTTACCCCACCARCAAATGCCATTTTGCTGCCAGAGGGGAGCCAGAGCAACATCAGCAGAGCCAAGACAGCAATTCTGATGTGARACTAATGGGAGGAAGGAGTCAGGGATCGATCAAGCCCAGATTTGCCTGACAGGCTGAGGAAAACATACAGTAGATCTTTGTCTTGTTTCCATGCATTACAGTCATTTGCATAACAGCGSCATTTGCTGAGCATAAATTAAGCATGAAACAAAAAATACATTACAATATGAGAAATTAATTTGGAGCAGGTAACATATAAACACCTGTCCCCTGGCAATAAGGCAGCCAGACAATTATGGATGAGGCAGAGGTGTCTTCAGCAGGTTGTTTTTAATCAGGAATGCTTCTCCTTCAGCTATTGCCCTTGAAGTATCACTTGATAAGTTCTCAGATAAATTAAGGCTCTCTCAGTTATAATTTCACTACTAGACTACTAATCTTTTCTGGCCATGCAGCCCAACAAAAATAATCCTCAAAWTTGTTCAAAAACCACTCTAGAGGACTCTTAGCCTTTGTTGTTTACTGTCAAGAAATTATTTCAACACCAAAAAAATCTAGTGTGTGTCTCTCTCATTGCTCTCACTGAACCAACACTTTCTGCTTATTTTTAATCTGCCATGTTTCTTGGATTATGCATTTTATTAACTGTGTTTTCACAGGCCTTACAACTGGACCTTCCCTTGTTCTGCAAATGACTTTGTTCTCCAAATTTCTCTTTAAAATAATCCTCCTTTTTGCTATGGGCTGTTCCACAGGTGATTATCCCCACCCTCTTTCCTGGTGAATAAATCCAAGGGCTGAATTGTGCTTTTCCTTAGGAACAGATCTTGGAATCCCACACACAGCAGAGCAGAGCTCATGGCTTGGGGTATCAAAGGGCAAATGAAAGGTTTGACTTTGGTTTTCTTGGCTGGAGAGAAGCTTTGCTCTGAATGTGGTGGTTTTCTTAATCTAATAGCAGAAGAAACAAATTCACACCAGCATCCTTCAGTAAGGTTGGGAAAAAGGAAACAATCCTCGTATTCTTACCTTATCAACATAGTTTGCAATTTCTATCAGCCTCTGCTTGATTTTTTCCACGTCTTTGCCTTGTCTCTGAAACTTGGAATGGAAAGGATCAATGCACCAGCAGCACAAATGTCACAATTTCCCCCCMAGAGCCAGCACATCAGGGAGGTTTGGCAATTAGGGTGCAGCCCAAAGCCAGCAGCAGACTCCAGAACCACAGTCTGCCTCAGAATAACACAGGATGTGGGACAGGATTATAGCTCTCTTGAAAAGATTTTAAAATCTCTCCGAGTTACAGAGGGGTCTTTTCAGGACTGATATTTCGGGAAGAAGTTCTTCCCTTAGCAGATCTGGCAAGGAGTGATTGCAGTTCCCTAAGCAGCAGTGCTCAAGGAGACTAAAAAAAAAACCTAAAAAGCAGCAAAATAATTCCAACCCAGATTCAGATCTTTGCCATGCACTCACTGGAACGTTTTCACAGCYAGTGCTGGGTACTTTGAAGCTCCCTTTGCAAACCATCAGGAAGGCARTGGTGCTCACGGACTGTGATGGCAAAGCTCTGCTTCAGAAGCACTGACAGCCCCGCTGAGGGCAGAGGGAAGGCAGTGAGGACATAACTTGCTCACAGAATGAATATTTGCCTCTCCTTCCACACTGACTGACACCCCTGTAAGGTGACAGTCACACTCCTCAGGAAGCATTGCATGAAATTTTACAGTGGAATATCAGCATTGTTGTATCTCAATTATCCCTTCCCTTGCTCAGCCCTAATTAGGGAGGATAATTGACCTCAGAAAAACATCAGATTTTTGGCTGAAGCACCTTCTTTGCAGCACCACGGTGACTGAACCGAGCTGCCCCTTCCCTGCTCACATTTCCCAGAACTTTTTGTAGCTCAGCTCCTCACCTCGCGATTATCTGCCACAATAACGAGCTCCACGTACTTCGTTGTCTTCAGAGTCTCCCTCTTGTGCTGTCAAAAAAMCCATGAAAGTCATATTTTGTTTCCAGCCTTAAAACAAAAAAGTGCTTGCAAGAGAAAATACAGATTTCCACAGATTTCACTACACATAAATTTGTAGTGAATTTGTAGTGTCCTCCTCCTRCTCGTGGAAGTTTTCCTTCCTCCCAAAGCCCCTCAGGATTTGATCAGAGTGGTGCAAAGTCTCTCTCTCAACCTTTYAGCCTTCTGCAGTTGAAATGTTTGAGTTATCTTTGCTCACAGGAGAATATCCCCTCCAGCACAAAGACCTTTGCTTTTTCTGAGCCACGTTTAAAGGAGGGATGAGGTAACTTCTAACAAACATTTCACACAATAGACAAACTGGTTACYGAGAAAAATGAGAGATAAAGGGATATTGAGCGAAGCACAGAAGAGGTCAGGCAGTCAACTGATAAATTATGTAGGAAGAAAAACCCAAAAGAAAAAAGCAGAACCAACTGCCAGTGTCTGGGGAAGCAAATTAATAGCCAAAAAAATGGAAAGCACATATTTAATTTTGTATCTGCATATTCATATAAAATGCAGGTCTGAAAGGATCATAATGTTTAGCTGGAAAAAGAAAATCACTGACAAAAGTATAATGATTTTGTGAGAGTACAAAACACRTCACAGATCCCTTGCTACCCTAAATTTAAGTGACCTGATAGTGCCTGGAAAAGTTCTGTGATTTACAGCAGCTGAGCATCCATCCTGTCATTCCTTCCTTGTGTCTGGAATGAGACATTTAGGGAAAAGAGGTCTCAGCAGAATATCTGATCTTCCTGCCAGAGCTTAAAGGGTTTTAGCAGATGTATGACCTCCAAGTGACCACGATGAGCTGCAGCAAAGCTCTTTAACCTAAAACATGACCAAAGCTTTCCAAGGAAATGCGTTCCAAGGCAAACTGAGTGATCCCATAAGCAGAGCCAGCGCTGGACATCGCCTCCAGCCAAATTTCACAAAGTTTTCTTCACATTTTATCAAAGTGTTCCTCTTCATTTTCTGCAGATAAATGATTTTGATGTTTTACAAGGATTAGAAAACAGTGAAAAATGTAATCTTTCAAACTCGTATTTAATAGTGTTAAAAATTCCAATAACTTGAAAAGAATTAGGTTGCACTTGGACATTTATGGATGGAGAGAGGAGTAAAAGCTGCTGTTCATGAACTAAACATCAAGGATGGTGCAAACACTTGGCAGAATTACATTTATCAGGGGGTCTGGCAGAKGAGCTGAGGGAATGCTCCTGAAACTTCTGGTGTTGGGGTGTGACACACCTCTCATGAGGGAGGTGCCTCAAAATGACCATGGGGCTGTGCTTKGTGATGGAATTGATCTCTCAGACACTAAAACCCCCACACCCTGAAATTCATTAGGACATCCTAAAGGGATGAATCTCCAAGGTGCCTCATCCTCCTCCAAGTGAAGAAAAAAAGATGACACAGGAAAATCCAAGTTCAAAGGTATGAGCAGAGCTCTGTTACATCAGTCAGTTTAAAACATTTCCCTCACCAAGAGTGGAACTGTTTGGGCTGGGGAGGAATTGGAGAGCAGGTGTAATCACATGAGCCTCTGGTGGCTGCCTCGTGTAACAAATCCMTTCCTGGGATGTGCCCCGAGGCTGTGTGCATTCCTGGGATACAATATTTATTTATTAAATACATCTAATTATGGTTTCTTGCAGCGTGCACCCTGCAGCCAGCTGCATCATTGGCTGGGTTAATCCTTCAGAATGAAATGAAGAGTCAGGGACACACTGGACATGTGAAATCCAGTTGCACCAATGCACAGCCCATTGGCTGAATTAATCCTTCAGAATGAAAAGAGAGTCAGTGGCACACTGGACATGTGAAATCAGCACAGCCATGAGAGTGGGGGACAGTGGGCTTTGTTCCACTGACCATTGTCTCCCTCCTCTGCCTCTCCCACACCTGATCCTAYCCCAAACCTGCTGTCCCAGCAGCTGCAGCCCTTCCCAGCCTTCCCTGCATGGCTTGGATTGACACTGCAGAAGTGCAGCTTCTCTTTCTCCACGCTCCAAAACAATCACCTGCCTGGTCGTGGCTACCAACACCTCCAAAATGGCTTTTCTTTGGTGGCTACAGAGCAAATTCCCTGCTGCAGGGTCTGTCCTACACAGCAGACATTCTGCAGGGTCCCATCTCAATGAGCTCAGCTGGAAAACTCTCCTTGGTGCAATTTGAGGGTCCAGTGAGTCATGAAATGACCCAGAATTTACAGAGAACCCGCTGCAGCGGGGCACAGCCTGTCTGAACATCTCTGCACCTCTGCCCTGCTCACTGAAACTCCTGTTTGGCTCTGGGAGCTGAGTCTGCTGCTTGTCCCATCCTTTATCTGTACCTACATCTCATCCAAAGGCCTTTTCTGATCTCACATTTCAGCCCTGCTCAGTAAGAATTATGTGTAGGTGGTTGAGTGGAAAGTCAGGGGAAAAAAAAATGACCAAAAATCCTCCCCCAGACCTGTCAAGAAGCCAACAATTTTCACCATGCCCTGAACCTTAGACGAGATTTCTGCTTAATTCTGTCACCCAGTGTGATTTGGAGCAGCTTTCTGTCTCCCCACTTCGCAGGTCATCTTTATTCAATGTGTCCACTGCCAGCCTGCTCAGTGACAACACCAAAATGTGAGAACTCACTCCACACATTCCATCTGACAGCTTTCAAAATCCCTACATTAGAAACTTAACCAACTTACTCATTAAAYATATTGTACCTATCCATATGATGTGACTGCTGACAGGTTTTGTAATTATGTCCACTGAACCAGAGCAAAAATATTTTTCAGATATTTAAAGTTGAAGCCACCAGCAAAATGGGAGAACCATAAGGGTAATAATAAAATGGCTTTGATTTTATCAGCTTGCTACAGGCACACATTTTATTTCACCACTACATTGATTACTTCAGTGGAATCCAGTCAAAAGTCACAAATCATTTGGGGAAACTTTAATGAAGTTATTTTTCCAAGCTTTCCAGCCCCACCTACTTTTAGAAGTATGTTTAATTCTTAAAATGATGTATGCAAAGGTTAATGCTCTAGCTGTAATATTTAATATTCTTAAAAATGTAAAAGAAATTCATTCCATTGCACAAACTATATCTAGGGATGTCACTTAGGCTACTTTTATTAGCAATTGACCTGGTGCAAAATTTAGTCATCCATGGAGGTACAAATCCCCATATGTGACATTCAATAAATGCTGATGGCAGATTTATATAATTTTATAATTCCTGAACACCTCACCCAGCCTTTTCTACAATCCTYATCCAATATGCAGATGAATTTATTACGTATTTTCCTCTTCCCCATTTTTAGCTCATTTAATTTTCTAGTTTCCATTCTCTAAATATTAATATGAACCTCATATTTATACATATGAGGTGCATCTCAGCCTACAGAAAACAACTGCAATAATGCATCTGCAAAATAATGTGATAATGCATCTGTAAAATAATGTGCTGATAATTTTTTTTGTGTGCATAAGAGAATTTCTACTAAAATATAAACATTCAAAACCTGGTATTAGCAAGGTATCCCAGCTCTCAAGTTCTCTTTCACCTTGGGAGGGCAAGAACTTTTCCAGACATCGCTCAGTATTTTTAGGAAACTTAAAATTCTGGTTAAAAGCATAAAAGAACCAAAATGTATGACCAAAACATGAACCCCATTAACTTTTCTGTGTTGAAAAGAAAACTGAAAAGCAAGTTATGCATGGAGAGCCGAGGAAAAGTAATAAAATAATTTCAGGCCTGCACTTCAGCAGATGACGCCGAGAGGAGCTGATGATGTGGGTTCATGTTTTGCTCAGTAAGAGACTCTTGTGGCAGGCAGCAATGTGGAAATGCTGCCAAGCAGACCCAAAAAAGSCCATCAGGCACCTACCCTGCCAGCTGGAGAATGCTGTGCTGTGTCACTGGCAGCAGCTCTCGTGGCAGGGATGTCAGGCTGGTGGCCGCAGGATCCCGGGGCTATTGTCAGCTTCTCTGCTTGGTAGATCTTGTGTTCATTTGTGGCACYTTCCAAAGGCTCCAGAATGTAGCTGCTGTTTCCAAACACGATAATTCCCCTAGGACAGAGGAGAGCACAGTGAAACCCCTGCTTTTCAGGAGCTTGTCTGCACCAAAGTCACACCGAGTTTAATAATGATGGAGTGCGAGAAAGCAAAACTCTGATTTACAGTGYCACGGGCGAGCGGAGCAGGAAACATCAAAGCTGTACATTTGTCACTGCAGCACACGCTGTACTTTCAAAGAAGCARTGGCTCACAGAAATTTGTCTCCTCTGAAGCGCTGCACTGCAGAGCAGAATGATATTTGTGTTTTATTTGTTTTCCACTCTCCCAGAGATGTGATGGAGTTCGCGGCGCGCGGATTCCGCGGAATCGCAGCGAGAGGGAACAAACGAGAGCCCGGAGAAACGCTTTGGGAAATGAAGGCACGGTGTGAAAATGTTCATGCCAGCTTGCAGTGGGCATTACAGCTGTTAAACCAAACCCTGACTGGAGCCAGATCAAACGGGCCTGGTGGTGCCAGGATGGATTATGAAATATCTCACAGTGAGGCGGCGGAGGGAGCTCCGGCACGGGAACAGTTGGCTCTTGTTTCGCTCATTTTACTGCCCAAAACAATAATTTTGACTCCCTGAGGAGCTCACAGGTTTGCCAGTGAAAGTGCTCTTGCTGAATTCCTAAAGACACAGCCTGCAAAGAGGAAAGAGGGTCCTTGTGCTGGGTCCTGCCCCGTTGTCCTGAGACGCTGCAGCAAAATGAAGGCRGAGAAAGGYKGAATATCTGGGATTGTYCAGCCTGGAGAAGGCTCCAGGGACYCTCAGAGCCCCTTCCAGTGCCTAAARGGGCTCCARGAGAGCTGGAGAGGGACTTTGGACAAAGGCATGGAGTGACTTTATTTTCTTAGTGTGCCTTTTTGGTGTTTTAGAAGTGTCTGCCCTTTTTATTGCTTTCTATGCTGCAGGAAAGTATTGTTAAGATACAACAATGACTGTGAGACCAATACACATTGCCGTAAAATTTTCTTGCAGGAAGTTAAAAAAGAAAAAAGAGAAAATAGAAGAAAAAAGACCCAAAAGCAGGTTAATGACGCTATGAAGAACGATTTAAAAATAAATTATGATTATTAGGAAAAAGCTGCCTTCATTATTCTGTTATTAGTAAGATATGATGAAGAAACAGACAGTCTTAGGTCTCCTAAACAGTTGAGTGAAGGATTAATTCCAAGYTGGCTGCACAGTTTTGCTACAGATCACCATGAACACCAGCTCAGCCAAGCCAACAGACATTTTACTGGTGAAAAGCTGAAAATCATGAGGAAAAAAACCAGCCTGGAAAGCCACAATATCAAAATGTGTCTAACAGCTCTCACAGGAGCCTGTTTTTTTTAAGTTTTACTGACCTGAACCGAGGCTCAGGGGCTGGTAATTCATCTGCAGAGAAGGGGAGACACATCCACCCCTCAGCCACATGCTGGGGCGATGGAGCACATGGAAGGCAGCGCTGATTTATCCCTGCACACCCTGGAGCAGCCCAGCCAGGACCCAAACCACGTCCTGGGCAGGTCACCCCTGATCTGAGAGACCTCTCAATCACTGCCAGAGCTGCCTTGTTCCCTGGAGGATTTAGGAAACCAGGATGATGTATTCCCTTTACCCCACTAACCAGCAGCTCTGCAATCAGCACAATCAAATCAGCATTGCTGTCTTTGCCTTGTGCAATTAATCATTTAATATGGGAGGCAGGAGTCCATTAGTCACTGTTTGAAATGGGCCAGCCTGCCCAGCTCCCTGTACTGACAACTCAGAAAAAACAGAAAAGGGAGTTATTTTTAACAGTAAGTTTTACTTTCTTAGAGCATTCACTTTAAAAATTGGAGACTGAAAAGATTTTATTTAATTACTCACACTAGAAAGAGAGCAACTTAGTTGTGTCCAGAGTAGAGTTGTATCTATTTTTATTTTAATTTTAATTTTTATTTTTAAATATTTTAAGTGAGCATCTTTTTTCCAGGAGTTCATATCCAAAATGTGCCACATCAATGCCAAGTTTCCAATRTATCCCTTGTACACCCAACCTCTGTCTGAAAGAACTTAATAACCGATTATTTAAAAATAATTAAATAACAATTTATTTAAAGATAACTAAATAACCATTTCTTTAAATAGAACTTAATGTCTTTCAAATTTTCTTTGAAAAATTTCCTTAAAAAGAGCTACTTTACCCCTCATTTTCTTTAGCTGYTGAGGATATGGAGAAATGATCAGAGTCCAAAATGATCAGAGTCTAAAATGATTAATTTGGGTTTTTCCTGAGCATACCAGTGTGATCCCCACCCCAAGGGACAGCATGGGCCTTTAAGGACAGTTTTCCCTTTAACTGTGGAGCAATCCCAGGCTAAAGAAAATCTGCAGATTCGGCATAAAGGAAAACAATCTTTTCATTTAAAGCACACTTATCCCTYGAGTGCTGCCTGCAGGATATCAGCACTTGGCTTGTGACCATCTCTAATGAGATAATGAATATCAAATACGAATTTCCTTGGCCAGGCCTCTGTTTTAGACTCATTTTCTTTTCCTGCAATTGCATTTTTCCCCCCATTGTGCAGTGCCAAGCACAGCACCTTAAAAACATAATGAGTCAAGAGTTATGGTTCCTTTCTTTTTTTCGGTGTTGAACAATGCCCAGCAGTCATTGAGGACTGAGAATTTGAGGCAAATAAAATAAATCCATAGCTACTGTTTCCTGGCACTGCTGTCAGGGGTTTCWCAGAAGCCTCTGTTACTCCTCCACCATTTCTGGGTCTCCCTCTGGAGCACAGTTCTCCCACACTCCTGAGTCAGCCCAGGCTCCCAGAAACTTTTCCATTTTTCAGGAGTCATTAAAGTTAAACAATGTAGTGTTCTCCAGCGTGGCAAATAGGATATTAAACTATCAAACTACACACCCCCAATCAAAAGTTATATAAAGAACCCTAAAGAGATTTCAGCAAGTCCTTAAGACCAACTTCTGCTGCAATGTGGGATTTCTATCAGACAAAAAACAACCAGAGTTCCCAAGATTATAAATATTTGAGGAGGAGAAAAAGCAAATTGAAGTATTCAATTTTTGTATTTCAAGTTTTGGTGTCAGGTGTCTAATTCACGGCATCTGTGTTTTCCCCAGTCCCAAAGCTACAGATGCTGGAAAATCAGATTTTCAAGGAAGGCAGGCAGGAAAGCCAAGAGACAATCCCACCCCTACCTGAAATGATTCCTCTGGCTTCTCCATCACTGGTAGCTGAGAAGGAGGGAAAAATATCCATCCCACAGAGCCCATGCAGACATCAGCTCAGGTTCCAGGCCAGGGGGAGCAGCTCCAGGGTGGTCCTGAGCCTGGGTTAAAGTTGGACTCCATCTCTCCCCAGGGTTTGGTTCCTGCTCTTGTCTGGGGTCAGCCCCAAACAAACCCCATCCCCATCCCTGCTGATCCGCTCTGGACATGGAAACCTGTTCCTTCTGAGCCACATGGGCACGTGGGGAATGTCTGCATGAGATGGGAGAGCTCTCTCCATCTCAAACAAACAGAAATTAAAACATGACTCACATAATTAATGTTTTGTTAATTGCTGTTTCACTCGCCAGGAATCTCTCAATCAGCAAAACCCAATTTAATGGAATAATTCCACTTTTTAAACTGTCAATAAAATCAAATGTAATTTTTCCCCCCCCCTCTAAAAAAGGAAAACCAAAACAAAACCTAAAGCGAGGCCAGTCGTATTTCATAAATCAACAGGCTTTAGAAAATCTCAAAATATAAATGGGATTTTTCTTTTCCAACTTGTCAGCAGAAGCAAAGGTCCTGCCAACATAAACCATCAACACATACTTGTCTGAGAAATTGTGATGCTGGAGCAAAATTTGGCTGGGACAGCACTACATGAAACTATTATATATTATTCTGCTGCCCTATACRGGGGAAATGAAGTAAATTGATAAACCTGAGATCCACGGGTGCAATTAAACATTTGGTTTTAATGAAGCTTGAAGTTATAGTCACTTCTAAACAATCCTAACAAAAAGCTCTGTTACCACGGAAGAGGAATGTAGATGGTCTGAGTTGGTGAGAAATTAATCTGAAGGCRATCCTGCTCACATATTAAATATTCACTGCAAGTCCGTCTCTACCCACAGATGCTGCAGTGCCACCTAAAMACCTCCAGGACCTTCATTCCACAATTCATGTCACAGTTTCATTAGGAAAGGGGCTGATTCCATGGATTTCATTGTGTTTTTGGTGAGAAGGTAGCAGAATTCTGGCCCTGGAGTGCAGGGATGCTCAACAGGCACCGTCTCAGRGGGTGATCTGTGCACTGAGGGCATTTTTGTTTATTTTTTCTTGTACATTCTGCATTCTCAGGACTCTGTACAACAAATTCCCAGGCAAGTAAGCAGGCAAACAAACAAAAGAGGAGGAAAAATGAGGTGGTGAAKGAGGACTTCACTTTCAGCCTGTTTTAATAAGTAGCAGATGGATGCTATGGGGATAAATGAGCAGGATGATCTATTGACTGTTTTTCTACTGRAGCTGATATTTAGATATTTTTTTCAAATGGTTTGGTCATTCTTTAACTTTAARGGACTGGGAAATACAGAGAATGAGGCTCTGGATGTGCTCCTGTCCCCATCACTGCCCTTGGTCACCTCTTTCTGCAAAAATTCCTTACCTCTAAAATGGAATAAATTTAATATCCACAAAAAAATAATTATCTCTTGATGAAGAGCACAACACAAGGGCCAAAAAACCCAATGGAAAGGAAAGGAAAGGAAAGGAAAGGAAAGGAAAGGAAAGGAAAGGAAAGGAAAGGAAAGGAAAGGAAAGGAAAGGAAAGGAAAGGAAAG